GACATCACCCCATAGCAACCGGACCTGGCGAATTTTTGAGCTTCCGGTTAGCTCTGGCTCGTGATGTCCCTTTTGCAATCATGAAACTAGTTTACCTTGCCTGGTTGCCTGGACGTTTCCGAAGACACAGAAGACTTCTCAAGCTTCTGGTAATGATACTGTCCTGTTGTTCAATCTCCTATTTTGCTTGTATTTCATTCAAGAAGAACAATGTTAACTTAACATGTGAATGTGGTGGAAATTTCACCGACGAGAAACAAAAAACCAGCGATACACGGGAAGTTCAACTAACAGTGAAAAATTGCTCTCGCGGATATGAAACTGAAAAGGTACAAAAATCTACCGCTCCTTTCAAAAATCTACCGCTCCCATTGAAGAAGAACAATGTCATCTTCACAAGTGAATCAGGTGGAAATTTCACCGACGTAGTACACAAACCCACCGCTCCACGTGAAGATGAAAGAAAAGGTCGACTAACAGTTTCCATCTGGCGAGATTTGTGCGGCGACAAAGTGAAAGTGCTGAGAAGCTCGCCATTTTATCCTAGTTTCCCCAACGAAAAGCTAATTCGTGATATTCCCGGGTTTCAAATCGTAGACAACAAAGCTGGATACGGTCAAACGATAGCTGGTTTCTTAAACCCAGCGACGAGTGGATCATATCGCTTTGCGATAGCCTCCGATGATTCATCAGAGTTGTGGCTTAGTCCAAGCGAAAATTCCAATGAGAAACAGTTAATTGCCAGTGTCTTTGTCGAGGGCGCTACAGGTTGGACAAAGAAGAATGAGCTGAGTAAATACCCTAGTCAAATTTCGAAAGATATAAAGCTTCACACCGGAAGTCGATATTACATCGAAGTCATTCATAAACAAGGCGAAGGCGACGGATTTGTGCAAGTTTTTTGGTCAAATCCTGGTGTCACAGATTTTAAACTGATCAGCTCTGAATACCTATCGTCTTGTTCAATTTCCTCAAAACAGGATGCCATGAACCAACTACTTGCTAAGCGTCTTGCAATCTCACAGACAGCGTGGAAAAAATACTCGAGCTTTACCACCATTCCATTGATCGGCGAAGGACACTATCTTCCACATTGCGCGTACAAGTCTAGCTTTATTCCCAAAGACAAAATTGACAAAAGACACGGGCTTTCTTTAGTTTCTCTATCCAGCGTGTTCCCACAAGATGATACTTTTATGGGAAGTAAAGGAAATGTGTGGTCCTGGAGTAACAGAGTCGCTGATAGAGAAATAGTACAATCAGTGGTGGACAAGATGATCGCTTCCCTTAACGAGAAAACTGCCAAGTAAGTAAGAGTTTTTAAGGTTGCCATAGACCTTCAGCGGTGTCTTTCAGAAACCTTTCGTCCTCGCGTGGCTTGTAACAAACTGTGTATCACCGTAAAGCTAATCAAACGAAGAAAATACAGTGGTTGCTAACGAGAGCTTAGACCATATTGGGACAAAATTTTACCTCATTACAATATGGCAACTGCAGAGACTTACCCCATGGCTTAAATGCTTTAATTATTTGAAAAGTCAATTTCGAGAAAAAAATCCGGTACTGTACAGCACCGCAAATGATCCCCCAGACACGAAATGATCCCCAAATTGGGCCGCAAATGATCCCCGATGTGGACCGCTGTCACAGTGATATGTGTATCCCCGTGATATGTGTATCCCCGCACACATATCACTAGTGATATGTGTATCCCCCGTGGGGATACACAAAACACTGATACGCGCCTGGGCATTCAACGAACAAAATAGCGACTCGGTTGCGAGGTTCCAACGAGCGCTGTAAAGAGTAGAAGAAACCAGAAATGAATTCGCGCCCAACGGAGCAGATTAGGATTTCTTGAGTTTGGTTGAGTTCCAACCGACGCGATTGTATATCAGACTAAAACTTCGAACAGCGGATACACATATCACTAATTATTTCATGGCGCAGTGATCTCAGTGTGTATCCCCTAAACACAGCCGTTAGATTGGCTATC